TGCATTTAATGTGCAGAATGAAGTCCCATGATATTTGAGACTAGATTAGTGGTTGAGTGTGTTGAGAATATTGACTCTGACTTTGATCATGCGCCTAAACAGACCCTCAACCCCTTCTTCAAAGTCTTGTATACTAGTCTCTGATAATTTTAGCTCATTCTGAACTTTCTCAATTTGCATCATGTCAGATTTGCTTGTTGCAAGGGATAGCAATGAAGTGTCAGCGATTTCCATTTCATTCATCTGCTATTCTCCTTCACCGGTGACTCCTTTTGTGTGCAATAGCTTTGAAACCAGCGACCACCGGTGCATGTGTGATTCTTTCTCAGGCCCGAAAGTAAAGGCCGGCAAGGATTGTAGCACATTAAGAGTGACTGCTTGCACCTCCCTCGATAGGCTAACTATGGAACCAGTCTCGTTCGAGACAGGACTTTCCTTATTGTCCGTATGCTTCAAATTCTTTAGGGCCTTCAAGATTTCCTTTTTAGCTGCCTTCTTGAAGGTCAAGTATTTTCTGACATCATTAGCAAAGCCTTTTGTAGCACTTCTCTTTCTGCGCAAGACAGATTGAAGTTCTATTGTGCATTCCTTTACTTGCAACAAGGCATCCTTGGCTGCGGCTCATAAATCTAAAGCCTGAGAGATCCATTCAACAGTCATCAACACATTCCCTCTGCTGCTCTTGGGATAAGATCTGTTGAGTGAAGGGCAGTTGAAGCAGTTTCTCAATGCAATCATGTAAATCTTGAAGTAGATGCGGACTCAGACGATGCCGATCTACTCAAATGCTCATCAACCTCTGAAGTTAAAGGGTGTGATCGAGAGGGAAAGCTATTAGAACTAGTGTGGTGACTGGTTTGGATGTTTCAAGGAACGATAGCCATCATCTCTTCTGGAAAGAAAACTCGGAAATTGTTATCTCGATTAGATCTTGAAATTTGCCTTCTTCCCTTCATGTACTCGATATATATATTCTATGAAGCAGGAGACATGAAGAATCTCACCCTTTCAAGTTGCAGTCGTGTGGTAACATGGACCTCACACTTACCTCAACAACTATCTCAGCATACTTCAAGCAATGTCTCCCTCCTAACAAGCTCTACAACTCATTACATGAAACTAATTTATGTGGCTAATATTTTTTTAATCACTTTCATTATGATTTACATGTACATGTGCATGCATTTAATGTGTTTCTTTGCGCAAGTTGATTATTAACCAAGTTGCAGGTGCACGAGAGGTGTTGACAAATTCACATTGTTTCGACTAAATAAAAAAAAGCAAATTGAATCATTTGCACGTGTGTTTATGCATCTGGTTTTAAACAACAAAACAAGGGGTATGGCAAGATCCACTCTCTTATCCTTTGCTCCATTTTCCCCTAACAAAACAGAAGAAAATATCGTGATTGACAGACTATGAAACAATCATATTTAATTTGCTTACAGCGTGTGAAATTTGTATCTACCATGTGATACTCAAAGCGTTACAATATCTTCAATGGGACAGCAGGAATCTGGACAGCTCATGTATCCATTGAAAAATCTCAGAATTCTTGAATCCTTGTTTAGCAAATGTAATAATGGAGGCTCTATAATGCAGCCTGTGAGTTAAAATGGTAGCATTTGGTAAAACTATCAGGAATCTGCAGTAAAAATATTGGCTTAAGATGCATCGATAACCATTCTTGGAAGCTAAGAAAAGAGAGAATCTGTGGAAATAAGACGGTATAATTTTTTTGCTCTAAAAGTTGTGTACATGTACATTATACTTTTATGTATAATTAGAATGCATAAGATTTCAACAGTTGAGGCTGTTCAGAACAGTGACTCTTGCTTTGATCAACCTCCTAAACAAGCTTTCAAGACCATCATCGAGATCTAGGATGCACATCTCTGAATTTTGGAGCTCATTTTGGACATTCTCAACCTGTTTCGTGTTTCCTGATTTAATCATGGAAGCAATGTAGCTTCAGCATTCACAATCTCATTTGTTTTTTGTTCTTCTTCTTCGCACATTACTCTTTTCTGGTGCATTATCTTTGAAACTAGTGACCATCAGCTCGATTTCGATTCAGCCTCTGGCCCTGAAATAAAGGACAACAAGGACTCCAGCACGCTGACAGTTACTGCTACTTGTTTCAAGGTGTTAATCAGGGCTCCGCTCTCACCATCTTTGCTGAAGGAAGAGCTGCTAGATTTGTTCTGCATATGCTTCAAGTTCTTCAAGGCCCTGCAGATTGCCTTTCTCACTGCCTTCCTAGGGGTTAAGTATTTCCTAACCTAGCAAGCCCTTCGACTCCTTGTCTTCGGCGCAAAATCGATCGAAGTTCTTGTGTGGATTCCTTTGTTTGCAACAAGGCATCTTTAGCGGTTCCGCATACATCAAGGAGCATGAGAGATCCATCCAAAAGTTGTTCAACCCATTTCCTTTGCTGCTCTTGATCTAACGCTTGTTGAGCGTGGGGCAATTGAAGCAACATATCAACAGAGTCATACAAATCTTGAAGACAGTTGAGTTGATGTCCTATAGATCACGATGTAGAGGCCAACTGAGACGCCTTCAGTCGGTTCAGATTTTCATCGACTTGTGAAGTGAAGGGGTGTTGCCTTGAAGGCAAACTGTTGGAGCGTGCATGGAAAGAAGGCTGGACATTCAAAGGAGAGGAAGCCTTTTCTTTTCTTTTCTTTTCTTTTTTTTTTAGGGAAGAAAGGCCTTTCAATTGTGCTGCAACTCAGTCCAGCTATTTGTTGTCTTCCCATTACCATCTACTGAATATATAGAAGTCACAGGCTGTGGGGAGGCAAGAGGAATCTCATTTGTGGTGCAAAAGGGGGGGCAAGATCTGCAAGCATGACTTGTATAATATAATGTTTAGCAGGAAAGCGTGTACTTGGGCTGCATTTTGTTTTTAAAAGATGGGAAGAAGATGACATATTTCTTGAAGATTCAATTGTCCCCTAACTGAAATACAGCTCAAACAATTTTCTGTAGTGCAACTCGTGTATGATCTGAATCAACCGTGTGAATGAAAAAGAGTTTTTTATATAATTTGAGCCGCAGATGACCCTTATTGCGTGAGAACTTGTGTTGGTCGATTGGGGATGGTAGGCTAGCCCGGTTTTGGTTAGATCCTCGGATTACGACCAATTCTTGGGGATGTTTGCAAATAAAAATTAAACAAAATTCTTTCAAATTTGACCCATGATGCCTCTCGAGTCAATAATATTTAGGGTGTGTTTGGTTCACGGAATATAAGATTATCAGGGAATAAGATTACTGGGAATGTTGTATTTTGTGTTTGGTTGATTTAGCAGGAATGTAAGATTATCGTGTTTGGTTAAAGGAATAAAATATTATTGAAATGTGTATTTGACAAAATTATCCTTATTATATATTTGTTTTTTTAACAAGTTGAAAAATATTTATATATTTTTAAAACAAAAATTAAATTCATAAAATTTATATATATATATTTTTTACAAAATTGAAAATATAAAAAGGTTTAATGAAAGGGTAAAATTTTATTTTAACCCCTGAACTTCATATAAAATTTTAATTATAGACATTTTTCTGTAAATATAAAATAATTTAAGGATAAATTTATAATTTAACCTTCGTAGAATTTTTATTATTCAATGACATAATAATGATATTTTTGAAAGAAAAAAATTTAAGGGCATTTTAGTCCAAAAAACGGTAATCCAACAATACATAAGGAAAGAGAAGTAATGACATTCTCGATAATATACCAAAAAAAATCTACTATTGATCATAAAACATTACCGGGAATGAGATTCCCGGCCAACCAAACATGGGAATGTGAATTCCATTCTCATGAGAATCTCACATTCCTTGATCCAAACACCCCCTTAACGTGTCAATAAAAAAGAGTCAAAGGACAGTCTCGTGTGGTAGTATAGTTACTAGGTCAGTCAATTAATGTGTAATATCATCATTTCGCGTTAATGATGATTAATAGTGATCTATTTGTTACAAACTGAGAATATTAGTGACTGATTTATTGTATATCAATAATGTTAATATAGATTTGTTACTTTTGAAATTTCAATGAAAAACAAAATTTTTTTAAACATTAATCATTGTTTATATGATTTATCTAAAATTTTTATTTTAAATTCAATTAATTTTATTTTTAAATTATTTTAATTTGAAATTATTTTTCTTTAAAAAAATAAATCCTGTAAAACTAAATCAAAACCTAATCTCATATTCCTCCCTTAAGTTGACGGGGGGCTTATTCAAAGGGTCAAATTTTAATTTAAATATTAGGGGTATTTGATTCAGGGTATCTCACATTATCCTGAGAATGAAATGTCATTCCCTCGTTTGGTTAGCAAATATTTCTAACCCTCGGTAATAAGTTATTCCTAACAGTGGTATTTTGGGTATATTATCGGGAATGTAATTACTCTCATTCCCTTAAGTATTGTTATATTCCCAGCGTTTTGGACTAAAATGTCCTTAAATTTTTTTTCTTCAAAAATATCATTTTTTTTCGTTGAATAAAAAAAATTCTACGAAAATTAAATTGCAAAATTATCCTTAAATTATTTTAAATTTACAAAAAAAAATCATAATTAGAATTTTATATGAAGTTTAGGGGTTAAAATAAAATTTTAACATTTCATTAAATCTATTTATCTTTTTAATTTTGTAAAAAAATTATATAAATTTTATGAATTTAAAATTTTTAAAGAAAATATATAAATTAATTATAGTAAAATTATAATATAATAAGGATAATTTGGTAAAATATATATTCTAATAATCTTTTATTGCTTTAACCAAATATTGTAATCTTACATTTCTGCTAAACGAACCAAACACAAAATATAACTTTCTCATTAATCTTATTTCCACCGATAATTCTAATCTTACATTTCGTGAACCAAACGCACTGTTAAAATAATATATTAATAAAATTACTTTATTTGCAGAAAATAGTTTTGGGTTGAAGTAGCTGACCCAAATGGAGCCATTCCGCTTCTACTGCAACAGTCTTGCTTGCCCTTTGCACAAGTCTCCTCGAAATAAATTCTCACCGGGCTTTCGATTTTGAAGAACAAATTCGTCTCCCAAACCTTTCCCATCTCCTGCACTACAGATCGGAAAAGCCGAAAGTGATCAAGTAAGGACGTGAGTTCGCATATCTACTTTTTCTTTGTTTAATCTTCAATTTGTTTGATTTTGTCATCCATCTTTTTTGCTTCGCTAGTATCCATTATGTAAGCTTGATTCTCTTTGGAATTTAAGGAGCCGTCTACTGAAAGGGTTCCTTCTTTGTCTTTATATCCATGGCTGCTCCGACTTAAAAAATGTGTTTGAACTCGTCTAAATTTTTGACCCGATTCATGCTTACCTGTTCCCGTTTCAGATTTAATTAATTAGTTTAATTAAGGAACAGGGGAAATTTGTAGGAGACGAGGGAGATTAAGATAATCAATTAGGATTTGAGTTTTTCATGCACGCTTTCACGTTACTTGGGGAGAATTAAGCGTTGTAAGTTTTCCTTTGGTAATGTTGTACTGTAATAAGATTGTACCTCATACAGCTTTGTTTCTTTCTTTAGGTCGTACCATGCTGATTTGTTTCCTGTGTTTTATTAATTTCTCATTATGATGTTTTAGAAAAATAAAGTATGACCACTCTATTCGATTGTAGCCTATAGAGTTGGCTACATACTTTGAGCAAAGCTCTAGTTTTGGTTTGTTACCTTCTTGTTTATACCATGCATAATTATGCTAAACTGGATAGCGAGGGTCATTGCTTTGCTCGGACACCATTAAGACTTCAAAAATTTATTATGGCGTGATAATTTAGGGAATTGTTAATTTTTTGTTTGCAGTCATGTATCCAAGGTCAATTGGTTGAAAGGGAAGTTTGTTAGATTAGCTATGCACCTTTGAGTAGCCATGATTGTCCTTGGACTAAATATTACCATCATATTGTAACCAAAAATATTAGATATTGTGTACGAGGGAGCCAGATCCTCCGAGAGTGGGAACTATCTTTCTGGAGATGATGTTGTGTCTTTTCTCCTTGATCAAGCTGTGTTACAAGTTACAACCACCTCTCAGCCTTCTCTTTTATTTTTTCCCCTCCAAAAAAAATGCATATCATATTTTGTCTTGTAAAAAATACCTGATTAAAAGCTAAAATATTTGATTTATTCTCATCTCTCTCTCTCTCTTCATCTGTGTGTGTGTGCATTTTAGTTGCAAATTCAGTTAGTAACTATTATATTTTCCAAATTTGCCGCTAAACTCTTTAGGTGAAACAGGTCCTTTAACCATACAAATTTGGTACAATTAGCCTTGAAACTTTTTAACTAAATTGACCCTTGAACTTGATAAGTTGTTATAAAAGGTTTAGAGGCCATGGGCGGCACCATGTAGAGTAATGGATTTCTCAAAGATATGTATTTTGAGCTTAAAAGTGTATTATTCTTTGTAAAAACACTTGTGAGCATTAGTTGTTTTATTTGCTGAAGTGTTTAGTTGGGTGAGTGCTTAAGTTTACAAACATTAAATCTTTGTGAGGATTGTTTTCAGTTTGCTAATTTGTATTTTCTATTTGGGAGGGTTCTTAAGGTTTTGGGGTGTAAACTTTGAGAGATTGTTGTAACTTGTAAGGTTACATCTTATCCTCAAAGATAAGCAAATCTAGTAGATTTGAGAAAAATCTTAATGTCGGTAGCTAAGATAATGGATGTGGATTTGGTTTAGAAGTCAAACCACTCTAAATCATTGTGCAAATTATTTTTTGTATTTCTTCCTCAAATTTTAAAAGAGTCAATCCCCCCATCTTGACATTATTCAATTTATCGGTCGAGCTAACAATTTTAATTTTTCCCCTTCATAATTGAAACAAACCTAAATACAAGTTTCAGTGATCTCCATTCACAGGTTTTCATTTGTTGTTGTGCAATACCATCCACTTAGGGTGCGACTATGTAGGGTATTTGGAGGAGAGATTTCATTTAGATCAAGGTTTTTGAAAGCGTGGTTAATTTTAGTTCAAAATATTATCCTACCCTTCATCTTGACATAAAGGAACAGAAGTTGGTGCATGTACTTGATATCATGTGAACTAATTAACATTTGTACTAGGATTTTGTCATTTACTGGGTCTAGCAAATGAAAAAAACTGCTAGTAGGAAGCTATGATACTGACTTAAGAGTGAATAAGCATGCCTTTTAGCAAGGTGGATACAAATTGCCTTGGGGCCTTGGAAAAGAGTTACATATGATTAATACTAGTATTATGTTACGGCCAAAGTCATCATTTACTGATTTTTTTAATTATACTTAAAAGATGCTAAAGTAGATTATCATTACCATGTAGACAGACTAAACCTATGATTACCTCTGTTCTTTTTTCCCCTCAAAACTACAATATTTTTTATTTTTATTAAAAAATATAGTTCATGCTTATATCCTTGTTATTTATTAAATTATAAATTACTTTTAGTATTTCAAGTTTTTGCAGAAGTTTTTATTTTAAAACGTTTTCATGGTAGTTTTTATGGGATACTTAGCAATTATTGAAATTTTAATGGAAAATAAAAAATCTGGACTTTTGAGGGATAAAAAGCCATGCTTAAACAGTTCCATGTTTTGAACATGGATTAAAGTAATGTGCTCAATGATCAAGATGAGTGAAATTTCTGGTTTAAAATTTATTGAGTTTACTTTCTGTTTCTTGGATTTGGATGAGGTGACACTCAAAAGTGCTCATCAAAACCCTGGTTGGGTGCCTTATGCTGTTAACTCTTTTGGAGTGGGGCTGGATTAACTATCCAATTCAAATTAATAGAATAGAAAGCGAACATATAATAAATATAAATTTGTTCTTAGTTGCACGGATGCATGCTACAATGCATTCCTTGTGGAATATGCATGGTAAATCATTGAGCTTCTCTCCTCTATCTTTGATGATATTCAAACATGAGTTATGCGTTCACCTTTTTCCTTCACATGCTTGAATTTTTTATGCTTGAAATAGAAACTCGGTGGTTTCATTACTGGTTTCGCTGTATGTATCTTATCTTTGTGAGAAAAGGAAATTAGCATATCTTTGATGTTATTTGCCCCTTGATAGTTGATCCTACATATTTTTCATTTGTTTTTTTTAGTAACTTTTTCTTGCATTTTCTTTATGTTATTATGCTCCTGGAATGATTTCTTTGTTGGTTTTCTGTTTAACAGTAGCATCTGAAAGGGCCTTGTTTCTCTTCCTTATTTTCTATGTTTTGTTAATTGTTGAGCTATAACAAAAGATGTCTCGGAGATATGATAGCCGCACAACAATCTTCTCCCCAGAAGGTCGTCTTTACCAAGTTGAGTATGCAATGGAGGCCATTGGAAATGCTGGCTCTGCAATCGGACTATTGTCAAAGGATGGTGTAGTCTTGGTTGGTGAAAAGAAAGTTACTTCCAAGCTTCTTCAAACCTCTACATCTACAGAGAAGATGTACAAGATTGATGATCATGTTGCTTGTGCTGTGGCGGGAATAATGTCTGATGCTAACATCCTTATCAACACTGCAAGGGTGCAAGCACAACGTTACACATTTGCTTACCAAGAACCAATGCCTGTTGAGCAGTTAGTCCAATCTCTTTGTGACACGAAGCAGGGATACACGCAGTTTGGTGGTCTCCGTCCCTTTGGTGTTTCATTTCTTTTTGCAGGATGGGACAAAAATTATGGTTTTCAACTTTACATGAGTGATCCTAGTGGAAACTACAGTGGATGGAAAGCTGCAGCTATCGGTGCCAATAACCAGGCAGCACAGTCAATGTTAAAACAAGATTACAAGGACGATATTACAAGGGAAGAAGCTGTCCAACTTGCATTGAAGGTGTTGAGTAAAACCATGGACAGCACCAGCCTTACTTGTGAGAAGCTTGAACTGGCTGAGGTTTTTCTTACACCTTCTGGGAGTGTAAAATATCAGGTCTTCTCACCCGAGTCTCTGAGTAAGTTGTTAGTCAAGCTTGGAGTGACCCAACCTGCGACTGAGGCTTCCTGAGTTAGTGTCGTTCCAACGAGTTTATCGTACTCTCTGTTATGAACTATAGAACACTTATTAAATGTTGATGTTGTTGCTGCAATCAGTTTTTCTGATGGAACATGAAGTAGTTGCTGTGGAATATGATTTTGTAACATCCCCGTTTCCTTGGCTAACTATCAGCTTAGTTATGGTATTTCAATTAACCATGGCCAAATCTAAAGTTCTGTTTTTATGATCTTACCATGCGTTGGGCATTGGTCAAATGCTTCGATTTTAGGTGTTGAAAATTGATGCTGTGTTTAGTATAACATGATCCTAGTTTCAATGTTTTAGCTTGCTGATTTGAGATTGCCATGCATGTTAGATTCCTTGCTTTAGAGAGAATGCCGTGTTTTAATATGAGCTTTTACCATGTTTGGAGAGAATGCCGTGCATTGATACAAACCTTCCATGTTTAGATGGAGCTAATACCGTGCTTTAGTATGTTGATATAAGCTTTCCATGTTTAGATTGAAATGCATACTTCAACTCATGCTAATTTAATATTTCTATGTTCAGGTTGAATGGCAACTTAGCCCAATACCGTATTCGGGTTAATTATTTAGTCCAATATGGCACAAAGTAAATTTATTTAGGGATCTACGGGATTTGTTATAGTGACTTGGAACGCGTCAAGTGAAGGTGACAAGCTCAAATAAAAAATATTTTTTATTTAAATTTTTTACATCAATGTGATAAAATTTAATTGAAAAATTATATTTTATTGAAACTTTTCTCCTCGATGTAACAAATTTGAATAAAAAATATTATGAGGGCGTTTGGATCAGGTTATGTGAGATTACAGGCGATGGGATGGAATGTGATTCCCCAGTTTGGATTGCAAAGATTCCTAACCTCCGGTAATAAGTTATTCTCAGCAGTGGTATTTTGGGACTTATAAATGGGAATGTGATTCCCCCTTCCCTTAGATATTGTTACATTCACGGCGTTTTGGACTAAAATGCCCTTAAAAAATTTTCTTCAAAAATATCCTTCTTATGTTGTTAAATAAAAAAAAAATCTACGAAGATTAAATTGTAAATTTATCCTTAAACTATTTTAGATTTACAAAAAAAAGTCCATAATTAGAATTTTATATGAAGTTCAGGGGTTAAAATAAAATTTTACCCTTTCATTAAACCTATTTATCTTTTCAATTTTATAAAAAAATTATATAAATTTTATGAATTTAAAATTTTTAAAGAAAATATATAAATTAATTATAGTAAAATTATAGTATAATTCAACTTGTTAAAAAAATACATATATAATAAGGACAATTTGGTAAAATATACATTCCAATAATCTTTTATTCATTTAATCAAACACTGTAATCTTACATTCCTGCTAAACGAACCAAACACAACAATACAACATTCTCAGTAATGTGTTAGGTAATATTACATTCCAATAATCATATTCATGCCGATAATATTATATCTCGTGAACTAAACGCATCATATTTAGACAAACTTATTACTTGATGTGATAAGTTCCTTGAACATTGTTTGGCCTAATAGGCCCAAAAAACCCAGGTTGAATTCATGGTTTACTATTTCACTATCATAGCCAAAAGACAATTCCTGTTTTATGACATACTCGGGATCCTAGTATTTAAAATTGTCTTTGAACATCATATCAATACAAGTTGGATTAAATTTTAAAACTATATTTTATAATTCAAAATCATTAAGTTTTTGTTATAATACTTTTAAATTTCATATTGTTTACATGAGTTTTTAAAAGCATTTAAATATAATCTTTTAAATATTTATTCATTGAGTGGTTGAAGATAAGATTTATACAGATGTGCCATTGTCATTATTCAATTGATTTGTTATAACAACTCTCTCTCTCGTATTTATTGTCGAGAACGAGTCGGAAATGTCACCTAAAGTTTTCAAAAAAAATCCTTACTAATTGAAGAAATATTTGTCTTTAAAATTATATAAAAATTATTTATAACAAAATATATAAAAAATATATTTTTCAAACTATTTAAGTCTAGTTTTATGCATCACGCAAAAGCTAGTGATTTTTATAATTATAAAAGAGCTTACACATCACAAAATTGACTACCAAAACATATACATGCCAACTATGAAATCAAAATACATAAGGAAGATGTAAATACTGTAGTAGCTTGTGAATTTTCCTCAAATAGGAAATGATGCACAACTCCTCCTTACTTCTGATAACTACGATCAACCAACGTGTAAACTGATTACACGCTAAGTATAGATTTAGTGAGACATTAATATAAAAATACAATATAATACATGGTAATAATACAAAAACCACCGCAGGCGTGGCCCAGTTGGTAAAGCAAGGGCTCTTGCTGGTCTCATGTCTTAGGTTTGAACCGCGCTGGCTGTGAATCCTGGAAAAAAGCGGGGGACAGAGTGGTGGGTTCTTTGAGCCTCTCCGAAGGTTGCCTCGTAGGGTCGGATTCTTTAGCCTGGCCTTGGGAGGTCCTACGTTATCAAAAAAATAATACAAAACATATCAAATAACGATAGAATGGAGATATCATAGAATAATATATAATAATATAAATCTGACTTATATCAAAGTCATTCATATTAAGTATCACCCGATAATCATCAATTCGGATATAAAGCATTTCATGCCAAATCAGTTATAATCAATGAAATACTTTCAAATTCATCAATCAAACATATATACTTTTTAAATTATTTTTAAATCATAGCCCAAAGTAAATAAATGAGAACACAAGGTATGCGAGTCACAAATAACACTTTTAATGCCGAATCACATGTACAAAGATATCATCAACACATATGTATCAGTGTACCAAAGGTCAGGAATACTATAACACCATCAACACATATGTACTATATAATGTATCTTGTAAGTACTGTAGCACCATTAACACATATGTACTACGTACCTAATGTAGTTGCTATTACTTTATGGCATGCCAACTATACTAAGAACTCTCAATGTACATACAATGGTCATTTCTATTAAAACCGCATATCGTTCATTTATCAAAGATATCCATACATAACTATAACAAAGCTATCATATAAAAGAGTAGTGGGCAGTTCACACCCGAAAATATTCAATTCCAATTTAACAAAATATTATGAAAAATATCATAATATAAATCAAAGCAGTTTTTTTTTAAATTATTTAAGATTAGCTTATCGCAAGCATTCTTTATATTATATATAATAGTACAAGTATAGTAATGCACTCACCTTAACGCTATGTACCAATCTAAAATATAACCTTCTGAAAAGCTTCAAACGTATTCTTTTTCCTTTCTTTTTTTTGTTCACCTCGTCTTGACTAAACTTGGATGCTTCAAGTGCATAAATTATAAAACACACACAATTCAAAATACAAGTTAAAATTTAATTCTAGCCATGCTCACTGATCAAACAAAAGTCTCTTAAAAAAATTCATATATAAACTTCATATACTTTAAATTAATCTTGAATACCATAATTCCACCAAAACTTTATTTTCTCTCTTTCAAAGCTTCAACTCCAACTTTCACATTCTAACTAAAATAATGAAGCTTGAATAATAACAAACTGTCTAAACACTTTAAATACAATTTCCCTTTAACTTTCCTTAATAACCAAACTAGTCCTTCAATATTAACCTTAGGGTTCAAGCTTCAAACAACCCATTTTTGAAAATAATACCATTTCCTAATCATTGCCATCATCAAATAACATTTACACATCAATTCCTTATTTTTTTTAAATTTATCGAATTGGTCCTCCATAATATATCTTTATTTTTTCGCTTCAATCAACACTTCAAAACTTTCTAAACACTTAATCATTCGCGATTAAACTCAAAACATGTTTCCATGTCAAACCCTAAACTCCTCCAGAATAGCCAAATTGATTCTCAAAGCTTTAACAATTGATTTTCAACTTCAATCAAGTATAGAAATGATAAAACAACATTTAAGCTTTCACAACCCATCATCATTTCAATTGAATCCTTGAACCCCAAATATTATCTACTCAAAATCTATAACATATACTAATCGAAACCATGAATAAATGGTACCAACTTGTAGAGAATTTAATTGAAAACAAAATTTGATTCATGTTTGAACCTTAAATCCAACTTAAAATGTTTGAAAATTGAAATTAAAACTTACCTAAAATTTCTTTTGAACTTCACGGCAGCAGCAACAAAAAATGGGGAATTCTTGAAGTTTCTTTTCATTTGATTTAATTTTTTTCTATTGATACTTAAAATGAATTTTAAATTTATTGTAATGCAAAATGACCATCTTGCCCTTAAAATCTAGTGTTTCTAATCAAGCTACTTGTCAAGTTTCTCATCCAAAAGCTAAAATAATACCAATGAGTTAGTAGTTTACACCTTTGTTCTTATAAGATTCCCAAATATCAATTTTGCCATTTTTAATCCAATGGTTAAGATTTAACGTGGAAACCATCTTAGATCCAATGATCCATATTAAATTTTATCCTTTTAAACATAGGAAATGACTTCTTTTCCCTTTCTCTAATATCTAGCAAAATTCTTAAATTTTCAGTTCGATCCGATTATCCGAATTTTCTCCGAACTTAACACTTTATATCTTTTAACACAAATTCCGTATCAAAAATCCGAGTAACACGAAAACATCATTCTTGAGAGTAAACTATCCATTTATCTCTTAATTTAAATATATGTTTTCCTAAGTCCATTTCTTATGTTTGTGCTTTGTATATGCCTGTGATTTCTTCTATTTGTGAACTGAGATTGTAGGAGCTATCTACTCCCCAACCTAACTTCATAGCCTGCTGCTGGCCTGAACTCTGGCTGTGTCATTGCCCACACATGTGAACCCACTTTAATTGTTCGAATATGATAGTCATATGTTGTTTTCCTAGGTATAGTTTGCAAGTTATATTGAACATGATTGAAGCATGAAGAAACTTGTAGCAATTCCTTTGTGTTAATGAGCTTGATGGATATTGTGCCATGTATTCTGACATTTTTCTTGCGGTTTAATGTCATTCTTCCGTTGGTTATCTTGAATTTGTAGGTCATTAGGCGTCTTGTTGACAGTGATCATATCCCTTTCTAGATCAACCTTAGAAAAGTGAAATGTTGCACCTATCTTTATATTTTCGTTTATGAAAAAATGAATCTCTTAGTTTGCACCGGAAACATTAAATGCCTTGCATGTTGTGTTGACTGGCCAAACTGGATAAGTGGAAATTATATGCCTTTCATGTTGTGCTGGATTTACACGAGTGATCATTCTAGTTTATTTACAAAGTTGTTATGTTATTAATAAGATGTAACTCCATGCGTCTTTCACCTATACAGGTGCAAGTCATGCAGCCATGTAATGACTACTGATGATGTTGAGGATTGGGTGTATCAGCAGTTGGAGGACGCCAGCCATCTCTTACATGGTGTAGTCCATTCTAATGGTTATGGCCATCTTCTAAGGGTCAATGGCCGGGAAGGGGGTTCGAGGGTTCTTACAGGATGTCATATCATGGACTTTTGGGATCGACTATGTAAAAGTCTTGCTGTCAGGTCAGAAATCCTAGTGCTTTTGTTGCCTTTGATCTTACATGTCCAGTAACTGGCTGCTCTTGTCTTACAAATTTTATTGGTTGGTGTAGTGGAGATGTTTCTTCTATTTGTACAAGTCTGAAAATAATGCAATTAATATGCTGTTTAGGTAGGTTTTGCAAAGTGTATGGTTATATTAAATCTTATCTATGCTCCCCAAAACCTCCCTTCCCGTTACAAACAGTAAATCTTCTTTTAAACCATGTGGTATTTGTCACCAATTGCTAAAAAATTATGCCATGAGTAATTCAGACATTTGATTTTCCTTTTGTAAGTTCATTTTCTGGCCAAAAACATTAAATAAAATAAAACTGGGCATGTCAATCTCTGCTGATATTTTTCTTATATGTCCTACTTATGTGCTTTGCGATGAAATTTATTCTTGGATAAAATTATCAGTACATTTTTTTTCTGCATCTTGTTTTATGCCGTTGATCTGTTTGTATGTTACTTTGGATGCATTTAGCTGCATGATTGGACTTAGTCATAGTATTTATTTTAGCTTACTATTTAACATCATCTCATACAAGCAGGAAGGTCTTATTGGTACTTTGTTTGTATGTTACTTTGTATGCATTTAGCTGCAGATAGACACACAGCAGATGACTCCCGACAATTGGACAGTTTAAAAAACGCGAGCACCATCTCTTACCTAGGTAGCAATGACAGCTAGTTTTGGAAACTCTTTTTTTTTAATCCGATCTATAAGTTGATGATACAAGTTGTGTGTTTCTTATGGGGGGTCTTATTGGTGCCTAAATCGATGTGTATATTATATAGCAACTGTCTTAAAAGGCATGTAGGCAGTTGTTTCTCTGTCCACTTCTTTTGTATATATTTAGTTCAAGCAATAAAAAAAAGAAAATGAAATATGTTTGTCAAGTTTTTTTAATTTAAGCAATGAAAAACGAAAATGAAAAGGATGGTTAAAGTACAAGTGAAAAGGCTTTCCAAAAGAATACATATATATATATATAGATAAGCAAGAGATTTGCCAGAATAACAATTGTAGAGCATATTACTTATGCCATTTCATCTTCTGATTGTATTTAATTATATATCATAAAAATATTTTAATATTGAACTCAAATTTCAGTCACTCTCTAATAAATATGAAAGAGAAAAAAAATAAGAAATCGATCCAACGTTGTTATATTAGCGTAATAAACTTGATTTTCTTTATTCCCAGTTGAATGCTACTGAGTTGGAGATGTGGCTGAGGGCCGACACAATGTCTTAATAAGAAAGGAACACGTACCTCATTAAAACCCCTCCTAATCAATACAAGGTGTTGAGCCTACAAGGGGAAAAGAATGCCCAACTACGTAAATCAAATTAACCGTACATCATTTGTTATCTCCGAAGAGATAATCTCAAGATAAATCGAGTCTAAAAATAGTGAAGATAAGAATATACAATCTCATTTGGCTAAAGTATCTGTTACAAAATTACAAGATCGTTGAATGGGAGAAACCTAAAAACTAGAACAAGCCTGGAAACGTTTGTTCGCTAGTCGAAGATGAAAAATCAAGGTAGAGACATTTTCATCATCACGAAGCAGTTTGTTCACCAAAAGAGCGTAATCAGACTCAAAAAGTACGTTCTTCCGTCCGTTATCACAAGACAAAGATAAAGCAGCACTAGAAGCATGAATCTCAGCTAAACTCGGATCACGAACGCCCGCACATAGCTTGAGCTAAACCACCCAAGACTCTTCCTCGGTGGTCACGAGCCACAACTCCAACAGCAATACAACCAAAACCTGGGTCAAAGGAACCGTCCAAATTAATTTTCACCACACCGGGAATTGAAGAGCACCAATGGAAAGAGGATGCAGCAGGCACCAATTCATCTAAACTAGCAACACCACTGGTACTATTACCACGGTGATGCGTGCTACAAGCCTCTAGAAAATCTCGATGAATAACCTGAGCATTAGCAATAAGGATCCAAGCAGGTCGTAACCTATTATCATGAACAAACGAGTTATGCCCATTCCACAAGTTCTATTCTAAAAGAAGAGTAATCAGACTAGTAAATTGTTCAATCCTAAACACAAGCAGACAGTCTTCAAACCACAACAATTGATCATCAACAGTACAAAGAAAAATGTGAGCTGGAAAACTAGCGAGACGAATAGTTTCTTGTGAGCTCGGACACGAGCATAAAGCGTGCACCACCGTCTCGTCACTCGTGCCGCACAAAGGACAAACCCCATCTGACAGACCTGCTTGTTTCAATTGGCTACGAACAGGTAAAGCTGCACGAGCTGCCCTCCAAGCGAAGATCCGACCCTTCGGCAGAACTTGTAGTTTGGAAATAATCTTCCATGCTTTTGAGATCAGTCCCTGCACATGAAAAGGCCGTTGAAACCAATGATAACCAGACTGCACGTAATAGATCCCAGAATCATGGAAATCCCACACAATCGTATCACCTTGACTCAGAGAGATGATCACCGCAAGAATGTTATCTGCATCTTCTGAACAAAACGACTGTCGCACTAAGTCTACGTTCCATCTGGCTAAACCAGGAATCATAAAATTCCGACATCAGATTGGATTGTCAGTCGCGTCAACATATGTACCTGCATAAGGAGATTTTAGAGATCCCCCTCAAGGGTCTATATGCATTCGCGCAAGGCTATCCTGAACGATACGCTAGAAGAGACTCTCTCGCATTGCAAGCAACACGTGAAATATTTAGCTCGTAACACTTTTACCACTAAATTATGGGACTCTTTAATAAGCCATACTTGCTTATCAAATAGTGCTAGGTTGAAACTACGCATATCTCCAACCCCATAAATGGTGCAAATAGCCAACTAAACGCTCTCCGTCTCAAATTATATTATACAAGTCCAGCATGCCTCCCTTCTGCACCACAAAACATTAACACAAGGCTACTGAGTTGTTTTGGTTGTGGAGAGGAGACACTGCATGAACATTTTCGCCATAATCGAGTACATCTATATCAACTGCACCTTACTTGTATTTGGTATTTAAACAGTATGAGATTCCTCTTGTCTCCCCCTCAACCTTGTGATATATATATATATTCAGCAGATGATAGTGAGAAGACAGAAAATAGCGAAGGAAACGGCTACCTCTACTTTGAATGTCCACCCTTCTTTCCATGCTCGCTCTAACAGCTTGCCTTCAAGGCAACATTCCATCGCTTCACAAATCGATGAAGATCTGAACCAACTAAGGGCGTCTGATCAGTCAGCCACTACATCATCGATAGGACATCAACTCAACTATCTTCAAGATTTGTATGACTCTGTTGATATGTTGCTTCAATTGCCCCTCTCAACAATTTCTAGCTCAAGAGCAGCAAAGGAAATGGGTTGAACAACTTTTGGATGGATCTCTCATGCTCCTTGATGTATGCGGAACAGCTAAAGATGCCTAGTTGCAAACAAAGGAATGCACACAAGAACTTAGATCGATTTTGGCCGAAAACGGGGTGTCGAAGGGATTGCTAATGAGGTTAGGAAATACTTAACCTCTAGGAAGGCAGTGAGAAAGGCCATCTGCAAGGGTGTCGAAGGGATTGTTAATGAGGTTAGGAAATACTTAACCTCTAGGAAGGCAGTGTGAAAGGCCATCTGCAAGGC